CTAAAACCATAGGTTTTTCATCCGTCCCCATTATCCTAAGACGGCTATTTTTCGATTTATTTCACTATTACCGCGTGTTGGTAATATGGTATTTCGTCCACATTTAAAATGTTAAGCCTAGTAACTAAAAATGTCAATCTAATGAGATGTCCTTCATTTTGTGTTCGGAGTAGGAGAGACTTATACGGAAAACTTTGAATTACCAAGGGGTAGAAATATCACGTGAGGGCAAACCAAAAGATCACATGAGCAGTGGAGCTCCGTCACTAGAATCAAATTTTCCCTCAGCTGATTTGTTGCCGTTATACTTGAATTTTTCTTTTTTTAAATAATAAAAAAAATGTTATCAAAATAGTTAGAGTACTCGCCCTATATCGTTAGATTTCCCATAACACAGGAACCGAACGTTCACTTCGAGCTGTTTCGAATCGCCCGCAAAATATTATTATCGCCTACTATACCTGCGTATAATATCGTCCGCGGCCGTCAGGATGTTTTTGAATATATTACAATCGTATTGTGCGCGCCGGGTTCATAGGTACGCGGATATTATCGTGGCGGTCGCGCGGCACGGACGCAGCTTGCAAACACTGTATACAACATGCCTCCACAGTAGGCCACCGGGTCCCGAGGCGGCGACGCGGATTTTCGGAGCCGGATAAACCGCTCGTCCTCTTCACGTGTTCCTGTATAACACAATATTATATTATTATACATATACGTGCCGATATTAAGAAAATATATAACATATTATTATAATATACATCGCGGCGCGTGGCGCGTGTGCGGACGGATAAGTGCGCGCGCGCGTATATACCTAAACTGCGAACCTGTTGGGGTGCGGGGCCAGGTGGTGCGTACATGCAACACGTGTCTGCTGTCAGACCATCTGCCCGGCACGTGCCAGCTGCCGCGTATGTGTGTGTGTGTGTGTAGAGTACGTTCTGTATATTATATACTTATGGCGTGTGTGTGCGTGTGTGTGTGTGCACTCGTCGTCGTCGTCGTCGTCGTCGTCGATGTCTCCTGTATGTGTGATGTGTGTGCGCGTTCGTGTGCGTGCGGACGCTCGCGATCAATCCCGCATCTGCCGCCAGATTTTCTGCTCATTCCAACAGTTGGTCGCGTCTTCCCGAACACCCTGATTTCCAGCTTTACCTGCACAGCGGCGCGCTGCCTATAATACGTACAGGGGACACCATCTGTCCCGCGGTGAAAGAAGGCTAGCTGCGTATTCGACGAGGAAGAGAAAAAAAAAAATCCAAAATAATATACCTTACCTGCATGCATACACTGACGCCTATACGCGTTCGCGTACAATGTAAAAACGGGCGAACCCGGAAAAACTATACCCCACATACGAGATTTGTATTTATTTTTTTTTTTCCAGACTTAGCCCGCAGAACAACTGCCGCGGAGACGCATCACGACGACATTCGGTGGCCGGGCATATTATTATATTAGCCGTAGCCCGTCGTCATCGCGATCGACCACAATACTCACATTGTTATTTTGATTGTTATTCTTATACCCTGCACAGTTCGAAATGATGTTCTATTTCATAGGATTCTTTGATTCCGCGGCGTGCGCTTTTCGCTCCGTCTGTCGCGCACGGATTCCGTCCGTATCTATTAGGGGAAGTGGTCTATGTGAGGAGTAGTCTATAACTATTGACCTTTATACATATATTATTAAATAGTAGTCCCCTACGACGAATTACTCGGTTAAAAAATAATAATATACATTAATAGTATACCTATTATCGTGGGCGCCCGGAGGGGGTGAGAAAGACGAGGCATCTGCCCCCCCTACCCTGGACTTCAAATTGACAAATATAATTTTATTTTAATTACTTCCTGGTGTTAAATGTGGGTAAATTAATACAATTTGGCTGGTCTTACTAAGAGGAGGGCAGATAAGTGAAATAAAAAAAAAGGTAATTAATACAATTTTTTGAAACGCCGTCCCCCCCAGAAAAATTATCTGGATTTAACACTGCCCATGCCTATTATTTATTTTATTAATTTGTTACTTAACATAGACGAATACAGATTACTGATAATACGATTGAAAATGTGTTGATCGCTGACGACGAGTGTTTCATAGTTAGGTTATTATGAATGGTTTTTTTTTGATTTAATTTGAAAATCGATTATTTACATATATCTTACTTCCTCGTCAAGATGATCCTCAATTCGCCCGGACACGGGCTCAGGAAGCAAATTTTGTCTATGCAGTATGTATATTCGTGATGGTTCGGGGAGGTTCGAATTTACTTTTTTACTTTTCTCGGGAACCTCCTGGAAAAATTTCGATAAAGCGCCGCAACGCCGCCGCGGGTTTTTATCGATATTTCGATAACGCTATCAATGGTAATTGCGCGCGCCTATAAGTTACGACTATACAACTCGGAATCTTTTTATTTTTTTTTTATTTTTAGGACTATGATATTGTAGTGGCGTCAGTGATTTCATGTGAACCTACGCCAAACGGGAACCACCGCAGCCGCCTCGTACCCGCACGCGTTATGAAATCATTCATTATCGTATCGACACCGCGACCAATTTGTCCGTTCGACTTCGTTCGACACATTTATTACATTATTGTATAAACATACGGATTCACGCTGTGCCAAGTCTTATCTCCGCGACGTGTCCGTTTGATAAATCATCATTAATATTATGTAGGTATTACTATTATCATTATTATTATTATTATTATAAACGATATTGCGCGCCGATAAACCCACAGATAAACTGCACGCGGTCTCGGGACCAGCATTGGCCGCGTCCGCCGACCAACGCACGATAGTACACGTCGAGTACTTACTACTATAATAATACCGAGCAGGCCCGTCCGGTTCGTACGACACGCGGTAATATAATAATACATTTTAACAATTTTCCGCGTTATTAAAAAAAAAAATAAATAACATTATACCTATACTCGTATGTCATCATTGTAGGTGCTTTAATTCGTGTCTGAGGTTCGTATACAATGAAGTTAGAGTACATATTTCTTATGTAATCATTAATTTGTGTAAAAATATTATTCATTTTAATATACGTATTATCCATGTATTATATTGTAATAATTTGATGAAAAATAATAATTAGGGGGAAGCCCCCGCAAAGATCATATTGAGTTTAATCATTATAAAGAATGCTAATTTTATTACAATTTTGCAGTCTTCTATCTTTCTTTTAATTCCGTCGGTTAACTCACAGCAGAAACAGCTCCAAGGGGAGGGGGGAGAACCTAGTTGCTACGGATACCCTAAGCCCTATTTTTGTTTGTTAAAAACAACTTTATATAAAGTATTATACTGTCGAGACTATTACAGACACACTGTGTATGTAGAGGAATCTAATATCTATACTATAAAGTTCAAAGAAACAATAAAATAAAACATATACTCTAAGTTATACAATATTCTGAAAAATATGATCTATGTTCTCCCTAATCAAGTCTCTGAAGTCACCCCTGTCTTATAGTTAGTGCCAGCTCACACTTTACGAGACATAGTATAAGAACCGGGCTAAGATTACGGGTAATCCAAAAAAAAACATTACCCATAAAACAACAAAACTAATTATTTTCGTACCAAAAATACCTAGTAACTGATTTTGACGGGATAGTAGTACGATAACTTTAAACCTTCTCCTAAAAACGTAAACCATCAGTCCAAGAGTTTTTAAATTCTGAGTGGAGCAAGAAATATATTGGTTTTACAATGATTTTTTTTTTATTTTTTTTTTTTTTTGTGGACAACTTTTCTATCAGCAATTTTGCTCCGATTTACAATAGTAGCACTTTTTCTGAAAGGAAATCTAACTGAAGAGGTACTTTAGGGACATTATTTTTTAATTTATAATATAAAGGAAAACCAAGGAAACGGGAAAATGTACGAAAATTAGGTATTAACTGATTATACTATAATATTCAAATATTTTTTTAAGCATATTATTATTATATTTGACAGTACAGTTGCTTAGGAATTTTTTCCTGGAGTTTTTTTTCCCAGGAGTTTTTTCTTAAAAAGCTTCTTCATTTTTATTCCGGGATTCAAGTTTACAATACGATAACGCTATCATTGCCCATTAGAATATTATAATGTTTTTTTGTATTTGTTGTTTCAATTATAAACGGGCAGAGCAAAATTTGTTGGTATTAACAGACTGTTATTATAACAACTGAGATAACGTTTAGGTTTTTTTTCAACCCGTAGATTGGTTTACTTTGCAGTATATATGCACATTATTAGAAATTCGATCAAACCCACTATGAGAATCTCGTCCAAACACTGTTTTTATTATACGGGAATACGGGAAAAAAGGTAATTCGCTCAAAATACATCTTGCGTACGGTTCCAGCACCGCGTATCTCCGATGATCCTGATGCATACTTTTCTAGTTAGTTTATGAGCCAATTTTTGCAACTATATAATTGTATAATATAATGTTCCAGGCGTTTATTTTGATGATTCTCTTATTGATGTTTAAGTCTGATTTCTTAGATGTGAAAAGTTGGGCCTTTTTTTGTTTTTGATGAAAGCGTAGCTTTATCTATGGTCAACTCTAAGCTCGTACAGGAGAGGGGGGTTAGGAGTTAAACTCCCCCCTACGAAATTTTTAAAGTTGGTATATATTTATAATATAACTAAAACCCCCGAAAATTGATCCTAAACACGTGTTTTGTCAACCTTATGCAGGTTTTTTTTTCATTTCTCGGGCGTCCTCGTACCGCGTCTGCCGCGATCGCGTTTCTTAAGGCCGTTTTCTGAAACACAACCCGTTAGGACTAATTTTGAAGACCCGTTTGTGCTAAAAAATACTAGTTTTATACAGCCCGTTTGGACAAGAATTTTCCTTATTTTGGTTTAACTAAACGTTTATTTAGCGAGCCTTCATATAGTAGTATTTTATCTGTTGTTGTCTTATCGTGCATAATACCTCGATACACAGATATAATATAATATAAAGATTCTTCTTCTTCAGTATTCAATCCTGAGATTGGTTTGTAGCAATTCTCCACTCTTCCCTGTTACTTGCCTTCCTCTTTGTCTCTTTATAAGAAGTACACCCTTGGTCCTCTATTATTTGTTGCATATATTCCATTCGTGGTCTTCCCCTAGCATTTTTTCCTTCCACGCAGCCTTCTATGATTAATCTTAGCAACCCACCATGTCTCAATACATGTCCAATCAATTCATTTCTCCTTTTCTTGATACTACTCAATAAAGTTCTTAACATAACTGGATTTTTAGTATGTGTCAAAGCTAAATTGTTACACAGAAATTGTACGTAAACCTAAATAATTTACTTATTACCTAATTTAAAAATTAGTTTACGTAATTTAACCGGACGTTTATCTAACGAGCTTTTGTAGACATTCAGAAGTATTGGTCCAAACGGGTTGCAGTTCTATTAGTGGCCCAAACGTTCACGGTCCAAACGCGCTTAGCCCTTTCCTAAACACGAAACTAAACTTCGCGATATATATGTATATATCGCCGTAGTACATAATTGTTATTATAACACGATAAATCTCGTGGTTTTCGGCAGACCGCCACAAACCGATCGGTACCGTCGTTGCAGCCTTTATTCCCGTTCGTTTTCGACGCTCGTCTCCTCCGTCTCGCACGTCTCCTGCTCATTCCACACTATCGTTACGGCTGTGTGTGCGTATGTAAATAATTTCCCATCCGTCGGTTTCAGTAACATTACGCCGCGTATTACACACCAAACGCGTCCATGTTCACCACATATTGTTCGCCGCGCACGGCGGAATAACGTCGCTGATAATAATAATATTATATAGTCGCTCGATGTTCGTGAAAAAAAAAACACACACACACACACACACACACGTACATTACGTACCTATATATTATACCGTATATCTTCATTATAAACATCATAAGGTACACTATATATAGGTTTATTCGTACACGCGGAGTAATAATCCCGCAGTAGGTACGTACCTATACCTATATAATATTATCTACGTGTGTATATATATATATATATATATATATATATGTATATGTATATAACTACGATCAACTACAATGAAACGCGTATTTCCAAGTAATGTTCGTGTGTGCAGCACCGTGTGTATATATACCTATACCTAGGTACATATAGTATAACAACTACAACGGAGTTTGACATGATGGCCGTCGTCGTCGTCGTCGTCATAGTCGCCGGTAGTTTCAGTCGCGGCTATATCTATCCACCAGAACGTTATTCGTGTAATGCGCATGTAGTTCGATGACCAGAAAAAAAAAAATGTAAAAAAAAAAATAAAATATTACTACACATATAACTATATATATTTTACCGGCCCCATATATCATCGCGGTGGTATAATAACTAATCAGAATAAAAAACAAATATTCCGCCACTCTGTCCACTCACTTATTGAATAAGAAGAAATCGACGACGGCGACGGCCGATATCGTACACCGGCCAAACAGCGGGCTATCGATATCGCCGACGGTATTTCATAATTAAATCGTAAAACAGTTCCGGACATAATGTGCACGCGGGTAGGACGATAGGAAACCGCGTGCACGGACATTCGCGTTTAAATTTACCAACCCGCCGTACGAGAGAAATATTTATTTTTTTTTATTTTTTTATTTTTTTTGATTCGACCGCATCGTCTCGATATCAATACATTCTATTTAAAATAGAAATAATAACAATAATAATAATAAAATCGTTTTATTACATAAAAACACCGACGACGCGACGACCGTTTCCCTTCTTTACGGTATTGCGGCTTCGAAGACGCCAATAATATTATGTTTTGTATTTTATCCTCCGATATAAATTATTATAATATAGCGAGTATGTATAATACGTAGGTACGCACATGTACCTACGTACCTACAGGTACACGTTACGTATCGAAGGTGAAGTTACATAAAAACATAAATATAAACGTTCAAGGGCATACATAGCATCGTGGAAATATAGCTAGATTCGGTTTTTTTTTTACCCGCACGAGATGCATTTTTACTGTATACCCGCTGCAGTGTTATCACGGTGTACCTACCTACTAACTCCGAGTATATACTGTATTTGTCATTTTTATTTCTGATTTATGTCACCGCGCGCTTTTAGCGCAATATATTTTATTCGTTATGTATATTTTTCAGACATAGATTGATACCTTGACAACTTTGTCCTTTAAATAAGTAGGTAAACGCACAATAATACAATATATTACTATAGGAACCATTTTTTTTTTTTTTTTTTTTATATAAAACCGTCGCCTAGCCCTATTATACACATCAAACACTATGCGTTATAGTATTATATTGGTACGTATCTATAATGTTGTATAATAGCGTGTTATTAATCTATCGAATGCGCTTTGCAGATAGCTCGGACATAATATGTAACATCGTGACCTCAGCTTATTAGTTTGGCCTTTTTAAATTTTTCCCGTGATTAATTATCGTTCTTCTTGTCACCGCCGCCGGGCTGACGCACGTCGGAATAATATAATAATAATTGTCGTGTACGCGCCGCGATATCATCGTCGCCGTTTGTTCTAAAAAAAAAAAAATTAAAATCGCTAATTGTTTCGGGAAATCCGATCGTGGCGTCGTCGCCGCGGTGCAGTTGCAGTCCGTACCGCCGCCGCGGCTTTTTTTTTTTTTATAATATATTCTAATATTACGGCCCGGTGCATAATATTACTATTATACACATATAGGTGCCCGCGCGTGTAAAACATAACCGATGATAATTATTATTAAATCTCTTTGAAATCAATATATAGGTATAAGGTACAGCTAGTGTTCGGGCACAATAGGTGTGTTTTGGTTCGCGGTATACAGAAAAGACAGCAGCTGTCTATTTCCCATACCAACTGTTGCTGCTGTCGCTGCCGCCGCTGCTGCTGTTGGCGGGCAGCTGTTGCTTCTCATCGTATGCTGCATGACGACGGACTGAAATACATATTATAAACGCGCATGTCTATACATATATATATATATAAAAAAAAGAAAAAAGTCAATAGCTATAGGTACATATCCAACCCTTTCCTTCGGATATACGTACGTATAAGCCTTTCTGCGCCCATTCATCAGCGGCTATACCGCGGTGCAGGGATACCTTTATATTATTTTCAACACCTTTCCAGGGAAGAAGAAAAAAAAATAAAATAGAGAGTATACACGCCGAAAATGGGTCTCCAGTTGCCAGACAGCTGCGCCGTTTTTTAAAAAAAAAAAATTTTTTTCGTCAGTCTGTCGTCAAAGTACGAAGGAATACTATGTTGTTTTTTTTTGTTTTTTTTTTTTACAATTCTATATTTAGACGAGCGTAAAAAAAGGATTTGCATATGCGGTCCCTTATAGTTAATGAGAACCACACGTGCGGCGCAGTAGTGTGTGCGCGCGTGTGTGTGTTGCTAAAAATTTATTTCCCGAAACGAAATACCAGACGCGCGCGCGACTACATACGTACGAATAGTGTTGTACGGACGACGGCGGATGGATAGGCATTTATTTTTTTCAGGCAATGTGCTCGTTCGTCCGTAAACTAAAAATATATCACCGTTTAAGGTAAATAAGCGCTAAAAAAGGGGAAAAATATGTAGAAAAAATACGCTCTTCCGTTTTCGTGCGCGTATATTTTACGCGGTTTTTTTGTTTTTCAATATATACGCGCGTTTAAGAGCAGAATCCCGACGCATACCTACTTAAAAATTACGTATAAATAGAAAAAAAAAATTGTTATACACGTTCCGATTTCCATTATAAGGGCTTATTTTTTTAAGAACTTGTTGCAATAACGCGCGCGCGGTGCGTATATTTTATTTTATATACGCGCGCGCGCGAGCGCGTGTGCTGGGTGTTTAGTTGCAGCCGGCTGTTTTTGTTTTTTTTTTCGTCGTCGGCGCAGCCCGGTTTATATGCGATTTGCAGCTGCTCTACCTTTTCTATAATATTATATTATACACCTTTAAAAAAAAAAAAATCATTATTCAAATATACACAGAGACCGGTATCGATGCAAACACTCTTTTTCTGTGTATACTAAAAAGAAAAACAAAATTAAACTTCCACGCGTGCGGCTATAATAACACACCTATAATATTTTGTATCGAAACGTGCGCGCAACAGGAATTTTTTAATACCATCGAATAATTATTTATAATATTATTATGTTATAGATTTTATAGAATAGCTGAAAAGTTCTATATTACAGTTTTTTTTTTTTTTTTTATCAGAAAACACTTGCCCCGGGTTATTCGTACTATGTACTAAAAAATATGTGAAAACTCCACAGTTTAATGCCCTAACAATTTTTTTATTAAATTTAAATAAATGTCGGTACGATAATTATTTTATTTTTGTTTATTTCTACGGTATCTTGGTTACAGAGAAAAAAACGCTACTAATATTACTCTGGTATGAATCTCGTCTTTGGATTGTAAAGGTTAATTGCCGTTTTTAGTTTACAAATTAAATTACTGCGTATCATATTATACGCCTTTCAAATTTACAACCTCTATAATACAGTGACCTAACCCGTGGTGTGAAGTATACACGTTAGGCTCATACTAAAGGTGTTTAAATGTAATCAAAATTAGAAGACTATTACAGGCGAACGGTATTATCAATTTATCAATATTATTTTTTTTTCCTAATTAAATAACTGATATATTATAATATACACGTGCACAATATAATGTTGTGTATATTCATTGCGAATTGAAAATACAGTGTACACCGTGTACAGACTAGTACATAATTAGCCGTTTTAATTTACATAAATATAAGTGCAAATTTCAAATAATTTTACGGATTAATTAGTTTAGAACGAAACCGTCGCATTGTACACAACGATGAACGACGCTTTAATACGAAATTCAAATCTCAACACGTGAGTATATGATATAGTACAGTTCAAGTAAAATATTATAAATCCAAAATATCAGTTTATTAAAAATAAGTGTTTTTTTTTCTTCGTAAATTACAGGAAACGACGATGGCTATAATAATGATGACGTTTTTTTTTTTTTTAGTAGGTACATTATAATAATAACGATACATAATAGGTTTCGCGTGCAATAATATACAACGGTCATTGCGTGTAATAATATTATACTTATTACATGCAGCAGATAATATAAATACTTATTTATCACTGCAGTTCAAAAAACTACAAAACTATTTATTATTATATGATTTACACTTGATAAATTTAAACAGTCGCGGCTTTATAATAACATAATAGAATGTATGGTTCATGGTCGTTAATAACATATTGAATTGAATTTTAGATTCTGCAAGTGTACAACGAAGAAGCGCTTTTTCGATTAGTAAAAATGTTTCGGTTTTTTCACCCGATACCTTAAAAGACGCGGAATTTCCGCCCGGCGGTAAACTTTATTGACAAGTTACTTTTTTTGTTTCTTTTTTTTTTTTTGATTCTCAGCAGTGCACCCTTATTTTTTCCATTATGCGTTTATTAGTTTTATTATTTACATTAATCTATTATTATACTGCACAACATCACAAAAACTTGAAAAAGAGGTTCACAGTATATTATATAGGGTCACCGGAACATGAAATATAAATGTGTTAGACAGTGGTTAGTCTGTGAGGATTGTTTGAGAGGAATTTTGATGTAGAGCTGCGGGATGAAACTATTAAAGTGGACAAAATTGGACTTTGACGATTTTAATTCTTATAGGTTTTCGTGTTTAGTTTTACATTTTCCTATACGAAAGATCGTTTTGTATCAAGGATTCGGTAGATTTTTAGTACACATGCTGTGTAATATTGGTCTTGACCTTCTCGAAAACGTGTTAAAGGTCCGTTTCTGAGTGTCCACGAGTAGTAAATGTACGGTCCCCGATTACGAAAAAATACATATTTAAACTTTACAATACATTAACTATACATAATATTACAAATATATGCTGACCATCAGCCCAGAAATATTGTCGTATTGTAAATTCCCTTCATGTTACGCGGGTTACCAGTTTTTTTTTTTTTTTTTTTTTTTAGTACGTGTAATCTGGTCGGCGTCAGGTAGGCAGCCGGCCGGTCGTATTGTTATAGCGTACATAGGTACCCTTCTTGTTAAACCGGTGGCCCGACGACGTGTTCTGCTGCCGGAGCAGTGTACAACGCAGAAAAAGGGTTGGTAAAAAAAAAAAAAAAATGGTTTAAAAAATAATAATATAATGTTTGTCGCAGGGGTCGTGCGTTTTGCCATAGTATAATGATAATATACATTATAATACGGACGATCCGTCGTATTTTATTTCGACCCCGATCCGGTATACCTATTTATAGGTACGCAGTATTATATGTAAAATACCAATCACCTATACGTATACATCATAGACAGTTTTAAATAGTATAACGAATAACGTCATCAGCTGTACAATTGCACAGAACGCGTTATGAGTATGATACTAAACGTATTACAATAATAGGAGAATAGTTCAAATGCGCACGTTTTCGACGAATACTCGTTGCTGTCGTCCGCTAAAAAGCCGTGTGT